TCTGTTGCAGATATTCGAAACGACTACCAACAACTTAAAGACAAACTTAAAACTCAGGAGAAGATTTGTCAGCTTTGGGTATAATGTTAAACTTGGTTGACACAACCCTGTAAAAGTGAACTCATATGTCATGCACCTCATGAAATTTTGAAAGAACTATTGAAACTTTTGACAGAGGCAGACGATATAAACATCAAAGAAATAGAACCCGACATTGCTTGCTGTGGTGTTTCATATAATGTCATTGACAAGATATACGTTATGAAAGGAGGTGAAACGTTGAACTTAAAATATAGTTTCCCAGACGTCATAAAAATATTTGACGACCACAACATTTCATTAAAATTTAGTTGCTAAGTAAATGGCAGAAGACACAATGGTTTATACTATTACGACTAAAAACCCTGAGTCATATAATTCTATAACAACAAACTTACAAAGTCCTCAAGGACGATATTGTAAACTAACTTTAAACACAATGACGACTAAAGCCTGTTTTGCTCTTTTGACACCAGAAGACTTTATTGTTGTGAATGGTAAAAAATACTCCTTTGAAGATACTTACTCAGATATACCACCAACAGGTTTTGTTGACTTATTTAATACTTTAAGGACGGATGTAACATGTGCTGCAACTAGAGCAGGTTTCATTATGTTTGGATGTCCGACTGAGTTTAGTATAAACGATATGAGCTATAATACAAAACTTATATCTGGTTTTTACTACCAACAGTTTCCTATAACAGGAAAAGGTGTCATACAAGGTTTGTCTGTTCCATTGACTTTAAGTACACCTATTTTATATATTGTTTCAAACTTAGGTTCAAAGTGCTATTCGAATGTCGACAGAAACTACTATGACCAAAAGATACTCATGCGTATAAACAACACTTTCTCTGCTGGTTTGCCTATTGTTCATTCGAATGCAGAGTTTTCAGCTTTAGTGAACTCAAACACTTTGGCAAACATAAACTTAACCTTAGTCGACGCAAACTTTGTTCCTGTAAAACTTTTATGTCCTATGTATTTGTCAATGACGGCAGAAAGTTTCGAATTGGAAGATGCAACTGGTGAAAGTATTGTATTACAAGAACAACTTCAACAACAAATAGCTCAAGAACAACAAATGCAACAAATGGAACAAATGCAACAACAAGCTCAAGAATAAAAAAATATTTTTTTTTATTTTTATAAAAATGTACAGAATAGACGTTTCAGATTTTTATGACTTCCAAGCGTTCAGAAATATGTGTCCATTTCGAGACTATAACAAAGCAGTCGAGAATTTGAAACGTTTAGTCATTTATGTCGACTCTGCCCCAGAATGTTATGTTATGAAAGAATGGGATGTTGTCTTTAACAAACCAAGAGCAACAATAGTTTCAGAACAAGAATGTAGACAGAAACTTAAGAAAATAAAAGTCGTACAAGTTGGAATGAAGATGTTAGATGCTTGGGATATCTTATTGTCGAAGTTAGAAGATTTTTCAGTTCGAGGTATAAAGTTCTATACACCTTCTCCAAACTTCTATTCTATCTTCACTGGATATAAATACGAACAAGTAGAATGGAAAGAAAATGTTATAGAAGCTTGGTTAGACCATGTCAAAGAAATTATATGCAATGGAAACGAAAAGGTTTATGAGTATATCTTATGTTGGTTTGCAAACATCTTACAACATCCAAGTGCTAAGAATGAAACTGCTCTCATTATAATTGGAAAACAAGGAACAGGTAAGAACACATTCTTTACAGATATCTTGTGCAAACTATTAGAAGGTTATTCGAACCCGAATATGACAAACTTAGAAAACATCTGCGGTAAATTTAACTCTTCAATAGAGAATATGAAACTTATAGTATGCAACGAACTTCAAAGTATAGATACAACAAAAGTTTTGAACTCAGATGCTTTGAAGAGTCTTATAACAGACAAAGTTGGAGTTGTTGAAAGAAAATATAAAGACCAAAGAGTTTGTGAAAATGTTGCAAATTTCATTATGGTTTCAAACAATGCTGTTCCGATGAAGTTAGAAAGTTCTGACAGAAGATATGTAGTTGTCAGAACGTCAGATTCTCATATGCAAGATACAGAATATTTTGACGACTTAGCAGAAACTTTGACATCTGACTTTTACAACCACTTGTTCTCATATTTTATGACATTAGATATTTCAAAGTTCAATCCAAGACAAATTCCACATACCGAAGAGAGACAAACATTGTTAGAAGCAAACAAGAGTGTATATGAACTGTTCATAGATGAAACTGACTTTGAGTGTTTAGATGAAAGGTCATTGTACGATTCGTATAAACAATATTGTCAAGAATATGGTTATATGACAGCGTCTAAACGAACATTCTTGGCAAATGTCAAAAATCTTTTAGATGTTCAGAACGGCGTATATACAAAGAAAAATTTTTCTGAGTAAATTTTAAAAAAATATTTTTTTATCCGATAGAAAAGATGGCAGAAAAATTAACTTTTTACATAGCGCCAGACCCTTCTTGCCCACATCTTTTTAAGCCACAATATATAGACATAGAACTAAATAGAGAAAGCGAAATTCTACAAACAGAAGAAACATATAGAGACCTAGATAACGAAAATGGATATGCGCTATTCTGGTTAGATTGTTGTTATGAAATGTATGAAAAAAAGGCTTTATATGAAGAATATAGAAAATTTTGTCATGAAAACGATATAAGACCAAGCTCTAGAGAAAAATTCTATGCTGGTATAAAACATCTTTTCAAAGTTCGGAATGGTGTATATAGAAAGAAATAATTTTTCTGAGTAAATTTAAAAAAAAATGTTTTTTTATTCTGAAGAAAAGATGGCAAAATTCATCTCAGTAAATAAGTACATGACAGAAGTCAAAGAAGAACTAGACCCATTCACATATTTGAATGTTTACTTCTACCATTTTGAAAAGTCTACATTTGACAAAGTTTGGAACATCGAACCAGTTAAGTTTGCTATTGTGACTAAAAATGGTGCGAAATTTGAAGACTTAGACATAGAAGGTTTGTTAACAGTCAAGGAAAATTTTGACAGAAGGTTTTCAAACCTTAAAGAAGGCAAAGCATACAAACTTGTTATACCTTATGAACCAAAGAAAGCAGACGACTATGAATATTATGAGTCTAAGATAGTTGAAGTTCAAGGTAAATTGGGTAAAAAGATTTTAGAGTCTAAGCCAGTGTTTGCTCCTAAAGAGGAAGAGAACATTGACATTGACCCAGAAATGTTCTAAAAATAAAATTTTATTTTTACATGTCAAATTTCTTTTTCTCTGGCTCTGGCTCTGGCTCTTTCTTCTCTTCTTCTACTTTCTTTTCTTTCTTCTCTCTCTTCTTCTTCTTCTCTGGTGGAGTTATGTCAAATTTGGCGCAACCATATTTATGTAAAAGTTCTTTGTCCTTTAATAGCTCATCTATTCTGTTTTCTATTTCATCTTCAAGAACAGCGCATGTGCCTTCTTTGCATTCTAAGAACTTTTGTTGGACTTCATCTTTCCAATCGGCGTCATCTCTGTCAACAAGTCTGTCATTGACAAACTTAAAGACTTCTCTGCCTAATGTTTTATGGTTCTTGTCATATTCCCAGAAACAGAACTTTAGAACAAATTCACCTTTCTTGTTTACACTATGTAAGATTTTATGGTCGACAGATGTTTTGCTGTCAAAAAGTTTGTCTCGAATATAGATAGCGAAATCGCTAGACATTTTCAAAAAGATAAAAATTTTAATTTTTCTAAAAATATGTTAGAAAAAAAGTTTGCTGACATTGACAAGAAATTTGAGAATGTTTTAAACAAGAACAAGAGGAAGTTAGAAAATGCTCAGATAAAACCTATACATGACAAGTTCTTATTTGCTCAGAATGGTATAACAGGTCTAATTGCACCACCTGGGTCGGGTAAGACTTTCACTTATCTTAAAATGGCTGCACAACAACAAGAACTAGATGAGAAGAACCCATTCTATGAGTTAGTAGTCATTTGTAGTACTTCTGGTCAATTCGACCAAACCGTAAATTCGTTCAAAGATATTATAAAGAAGTCTAAGTTAGTATGTATAAAAGACTCTGAGTTGTTAGATTGGATAAAGAAGTACCAAAGAAGAGTTTTGAAGTACAATGCTATAAATGAGTATATAAACTCGAAGTTTAAAGACCCAAATGAGGAAATGCAGAGAATATTAGAGAAGAAACACTTCAGAAACAAACAGAAAGAGATAGAATACATTTCGAAGAAATTGCAATCTTACGATTGGAAGACATACCCTCATAGGTGTCTTCTTATCTTAGATGACTTTGCTTCTCATCCTTTGTTAAAGAACAGAGAACAAGATATGTGTCGAATTCTTAAGAAGCTCAGACACTTTAACATTTCAGTTGTCATTTGTGTACAGACAGCAAAGAGTTTAAGTAAGGATGTAAAGAGAATACTTACTGACATTGTACTTTTCCCTGGATTGTCCGAAGACGATTTCATGGAACTTATGAAAGAGTCCATGGCAGGTAAGTTTGACAGACATGAACTATGGGAGAAGTACAAAGTCATACAAGACCCTCATACTTCTTTCAGAATTCATATCTACGCAAACAAAGTTCAAATTGTAAAAAGTCAAGCTTGAAAAATAAAGAGTTTTGGCGACCAGGGTTTCTTACCTACTCGCTGTTCTTCTCTCGGTTTTTCGAGGGAAGCAAGCATATGAGGAAATTCATGAAATTTCATACGGAATTCAGCAAAAATATATTTTAGGTGAAGAGGTGAGATTTCACCTCTTTTTTCACCTGTTTTTTCACCTCAGTTATTTTATAAGCGTTTCACATGGTAAACGTTATTTTTTAAATTTTGTGAAAACTCAACGGTTTGACACAAGCCCTAAAAATTATTTTACTCAGAATTTTGTTGCTGAATTCAATAAAAATATATTTTAGGTGAAGAGGTGAGATTTCACCTGTTTTTTCACCTCTTTTCTCACCTGTTATTTTATAAGCGTTTTACATGAATTGTATGATGTATATTTGAAATCCTAAACAATTTCGTAGCTTCTATTTCTTCTGTCAGTACATCGAATGTTTTAACGATACCGAAAGTTTCTTTATACTTCTTCTTGACGTCAGATAGAAGGAAATCTTCTGCTGTTGGATAGTTTTTGTTCAGAAATGCTAACATGTTCATTTTATCTTCTGCTGGTTTCTCTACTTCTTTCTTTAAGTCAGCATAGTCGTTTCGCATACGTTCTATCTCTTTGACGGAGTAGTTATATTTCCTCATTGCTGCTTTACATTTTGAACATTGCGGGTTCATTTTAGCATTGTACATTGAAACCTTACCTGCTAAAACAACTAAGGCGTCAATTGCTCTCTTTAACTCAAAAGTTGCGGGTCTTATTTGTTCATTCCATATCTTACCTCTTCTATCTTTATCTCTTATCTGCCATACACATTTTGCAACTAATGAAACAAAGTTGTCGTAGGTCTTAAACTCCCCAGATTTGTATATGTCAGAGATGTTCTTATATACCATATCGCAATCTTTGTCCATGACTTTGTGGTTGCAATGAAATCCAAGAAACTCATAGTTAACCTTTCGTATGAACTTCTTTATTTCTACTGAGTCAGTTGCTTTGACTTCTATTTCATCGAATTCAGGAATAGTAAGCTTTTGTTGTTGTATTTCAGGAAGTTTAGGTAGATGGTCAATAATATCCTGCATTTCATAAAGATACTGTTCATTTGTTTCATCTTTCGCAGTGCAATCTAAATCTCCTTGGAGAAGTTCTTGCTTTATCTTCTGGATTTCTGTTTCGAAAGTATATGAAGAAGGAATGAAGCTTTTCATCTCTACTAACATTGAAGTTGGGTTCATGACTAAAGAGTTTGGTGCTGTTGTTGCTAACATGTTCTTACAATAAAAATAAAAAAATATTTTTTTAAAAAAACCAACTTTATTTTTTATTTCGGGAAAATTCATGAGGTGAAAAAAGAGGTGAAAAAAGAGGTGAAATCTCACCTCTTCACCTAAAATATATTTTTGTCTGATTTACGCTCATTACGATGAAGTTTCGACAAAACATTTACGTTCATGTTTGACAAAACATTTACGATGAAATCATGAAAATTCATGAGGTGAAAAAGAGGTGAAAAAAGAGGTGAAATCTCACCTCTTCACCTAAAATATATTTTTGCTGAAAAAGTGTTATTTTTTCATGTCCGAAGACTCGAAGGTGCAACACTTCCAAAATACCGACGAACTCAGAAGAGCAGCATGGCAGTATCTTCTTGACAACTTCTTTGAGTTCTCCAGGTACACCTTGGAAAATGCTGAAGAACTCCGACACAGAGAATTTGGAGAAATTGCACTCCAATACTACCTTGACAAACAAAGGGTAAACAAAGGGTAAACAAAGGGTAAAATAAGACTAAAAACTTAACGTTTAAAAAGTGACATTTTTATGAGCTCCGAGTCACCGAGAAAACTTGGTCAGATGTTAGCAGCTTACTTCCCTGAGGAGGATGGAAGCGTTACATACGTAAGGTTCAAAAACAACGAACCTGGAATTGCGTACCAAATTCGCAATTACATGACCATGGAAGAGTACGAAAGGTTTCTACAAGAGAAACCAGCTCTAAACAACTCAGAAAAGAAAGAGTAAAAAGTTTAACTCGTAATTGTTTATTTTTTTACTTGTATGGGCAAGCTGCAAGAATGAAGTCGACTATCTCAGTCTTTGTCTTGACCAGTTGGACTGCTCTTGCGAGTACGTCTGTTTTGCGGTCTCCAGCTGGTGTCTGACCTTCGTAATTGCGCATGTTCTTGAGAGCTCCAACTGTAAATGGCTGTAAGATGAAGAGTCTCTCAGACTGCTTGAGGTAGTCTTCACGGTCACGAACCGAATCTGTGGTACGAGTCGAATTGGTCGACCTTAGGGAAGAGACTGAAAGCCTGTCATCTTCCATAGGGGCTGTGGCATACTCTTTGCGTAAACGGTTCAGACCTTCTTCGAACTCTTGGTCTCTCTTCGATTGGGATTGAGATTGGAATTGGGGTGGAGGGTTTGACATGAACATCCAAGGGTTAGGGAAGTAAGGCATGGGTTGAGGAGGGTAGTTTGGAAAGCCTTGTGGTGGGTAGTTTGGAAAGCCTTGTGGTGGGTAGTAACCTTGAGGTGGAAATTGGTAGTAATTCGGAGGTCCTTGTTGGAACTGAGGTTGCTGAGGAGACTGTTGTGGTGCTGGAGCATGCTGTTCCTCTGGCTGTGGAACGGGTTCAGTAGGTGGGACGTCGGACATTCGTTTGTGTCTTAACCGTCTTTGTTCTGAAACAATATAATATTGTCTTGAAAAAGTACAACATTGTCTTGAAAAAGTACAACATTGTCTTGAAAAAGTACAACATTGTCTTGAAAAAGTACAACATTGTCTTGAAAAAGTACAACATTGTCTTGAAAAAGTACAACATTGTTCTGAAAAAGTTCAAGACTTGTTCTGAAAAAGTACAGCTGTACTCAAATTTGAGAGACATTGTACTGAATTTATACAACATTGTTCTGAAAAAGTACAACATTGTTCTGAAAAAGTACAATATTGTCTTGAAAAAGTACAACATTGTCTTGAAAAAGTACAACATTGTCTTGAAAAAGTACAACATTGTCTTGAAAAAGTACAATATTGTACTGACTCAGTATGGAGCTTGACCCCTTAGACGAAGCAATTTATCTAATTGAGGTAAATGAAACCGTGAAGGAATATCTCAGCAAGTGCAAACCAAGCAAGTCCATTGGCTTCTGGTTGTCCAAGAATAGTGTCTTAAAGTTGGAAATTGAAACAGGTGTTGCAATTCAAGTTCCAGAAGGCACTGCATTCGATGATATTAAGGATGTGAAGAAAGAAGCCCTCTTGAAGTTCTTCATGAAACGTCCTTGGATACTACTTCCATATCGTGAGAGCCCAATTCCACGAATTACACAAATTCTCAGAGCACTACTTCACTACTCTGGACAGCCGTTCTTCATAACCTCAGAAGGCGACATCCAACCAATTCAGTAAACATCTCATTTTAACTTCACTTTTTTTTATGTTTTTACTCACACTCGTACTCAACAGGTTTGTGTACAACTATTTCAACTGTGAACCTTGTATTGACCGGTCTTCCTGCAAATGCAAGTTCGGTCAATACACAATTTATGGTGGCAAGAAAGACAGTGGGGAATGTTATTCTGACATCTGTTGTTGCGCTCGAGAGAGAATTGAAATTCCAGACCCAACTCCAACACCAACACTCAAGTTGCCAAAGACTCATGTGAAGAAGAAGCCTTCTGGTAAGTTTCTTATAGCCATATACATGGCACGCTTTGAGTAAAAACATTTTTTTCATTTTTTGAATGAAGCAAGTTAAATTCGTCCCACACCAATCTCAATGGACCGATGAAGAGTTTCAAGCTATGGTTGAAGGTTTGAGAACGACATAGACGGCGAACTTGAAGGAGCTCAAACCACAATTGCAACCAAAATTGCAGAAGTCAAGGAACAGATAGCTCCACTTAAAGCTACCAAAGCTACTCTTGACCTCATGGATACTTACCGTTTAGAAGTAAAGAGTGGAATAAGACAATTAAAATTAAAACTTCTAAACTACGAAGCTATACTCCAAAAGTTAGCAGAAATGAGAAGACTTTACCAGAGCTACTTACATGTAAGGGACTTACCTTCAAGCAGTCCGACCAAAGATGAATTTTCTGACATTGTCCCAATTTTGTCCGAAAGTCAGCTCAGATGTTTCGAACTGCTCCCAACATATCCAGAATATGAACGTTTGCCTGAACTCTTCCGCAATCTCAAAAAACGTTTTTTGGTTCTCATGTTCGAAACTTTTATCGGAAGAGACAACAAACGTTCAGAAGAAGAACAAGATATTATTTTAAACTTGTTGTATGACTTAACCGTCATAACAAGCTTTTTGAAGTAAAACCGTCATTCTCAAACCACTTCATTTTTTCGATGTCCGAACAAGCACCGAAGCCAAACTCAATGGCAGATGTCCTTTCAATGTTGCCAGACAAGCGCCCAGTTCAAATTCAAATTTTGAATTTGAAAGCTCATCTGACAAACACCGTTAAGACTCTCCAAAGTAGTCTTATGGAAGAGATGAAGGGACTTAAAGGTGAGTTCCTCATGAACCAAGCTTCCAATGAGAAAGTCCTGAACGATTTGACGGAAACCTTGCGCATTTACGCGAGAGAGAACCGAGACCTTGCCA